TGCTGATTTGGATACTTCTAATTTACTTATCTTGTCTTATTGCTCTTGCAAATGTTTTCAGAACTTTATTGAATAGGAGAGGTGATAGTGGGAACCCTTGCCTAGTTCCTGTTCTCAGGGGGAATGCCTTTAATCTCCCCCCATTGAGAATAACGTTGGTTCTTAGGTTTTGGTGTGGGGTTGTTTTTTTTCTTTTTCTTTTCTTGGTGCGTTTCCCCCCCCCCTATTATTTTTGCATATACTTTTCACTATTTTGAGGAAATCCCCCTCTATTCCTATTTTGTTGGATGTTTTAATCAAGAAAGGATGTTGAATTTTGTCAAAGGCCTTTTCTGCATTAATTGATAAAATCATGTGGTTCATGCTCTTTGCTTTGTTATTGTGATGAATTACATTGATTGTTTTTCTTATGTTGAACCATCCTTATATATCTGTTATGAATTCCATTTGGTCATGGTGATTCTTTGTGTGTGTGTGTGTGTGTGTGTGTGTGTGTGTGTGTGTGTGTACTGTTGGATTCTTTTGGCCAAGATTTCATTGAGGATCTAAGTTCATGAGAGATATAGGCCTGTAGCTTTCCATTTTGGTGATGTCTTTACCTGATTTTGGTATTTGTTATTAGGATGTTTGCTTCATAGAAGGAGTGTTGGAGTATTTAATCTTTTTCTATTTTCTGAACTACTTCATGTAGAATTGGTAACATCTCTTCTCTGAATGTTTGGTAGAATTCACTAGTAAAACCATGTGGTCCAAGGTTTTTTTTTTTGTTGGAAGTTAACAATAATAACTTTGATGGGTAGCAACATGGGTCTTAAAAGCTTGTTAGCAGCCATTTAAGGTGTAATAATTATTTTCTCTAGAAAAGTGAAAAGGGAAGGAAAAAATTACACTGAAACTATTAGTACAAAGTACCATGGGAATCTCAACTCACATGACCCTAAGACCAAAAGAACTAGATGGTGATAGGCTGCCACAATTAAAAGGATCACAGTAGAAGATTATGGATAGAATATAGGGAAATTTTGAAATAAACTAAAAGTATAAAATTCTCAGTCTTACCAGTCCAAAAAAGACTGATAGAATACCCTAGACTATGGCTCTAAGCCACCCTTCAAATCTGGAACAAAACTGTATCTCTGTGGTTGAACTTATAACTAAATAATAGACAAGCTTATAGCATAATACCAGCATTTGCCCCAAGACAAATCCCAGAAGACAGGGAGGAATGGGATATAAGGATTAATACAAATAAGAATTCCAGAGAAGATGTTCAAAGAGTTAGGTTATATTGTATTATAATTAATGTTAAAAAAAGAAAATGTTTATGAATTGTTGTTGAATGGAGAAAAGAAAAAGAACATGGGTTACAGCTTGCTTGACTCCACAATCCATACTGTTGGTACCAATTTTCAGGAAATCAAAAGATGAATTGTTGTTGTTGTTAGACGCCATCGAGTCAAGGATCATAGTGCCCCTATAAACAAAAGTTCTGAACCTAGAACTGCCCTCCTCCATCCTCACACTTCCTGACATACAAGAGCCCATTGCAGCAGTCACCTTGTCAATCCACCTGGTTGAGGGTCTTCCTCTCCTTTGCTGACCCTCCACCCTTCTCATCCTCATGTACCTCTACATGGAATAGCACCTCCTAGCAATATGTCCAAAGTAAGTGAGCACTCTGATTTATTTCACCCTCCCAAAACATATCTATTAACTTTTTAGCCATCCATGGAATATTCAGTGTTTTCTCCAACATCACAATGCAAAGTCATCAATTCTTTTTCTGTCATCCTTATTCATGGTTCAGATCTCAGATGCATAGCTAGTAATTGGAAAGACCATGACCTGAATCAGATGCACCTTAGTCCTCAAACTGACATTACTACTCCTCAGTAATTTGGAAGGTCTCTAACTACAGATTTTCCCAGTGCAATATGTCTTATTTCCTGACTGCTTTTACCAAGGGTGTTAATTGTGGATCCAAATAAAATGAAGTTGTTGACAGTTTCAATCTCCTCTCCATCCATAGTGATACTGCCTATTGGATCAGTGGTAAGAATCTTTGTTTTCTTGATATTGAGATACAATCCATATTGAAGGCTGCATTACTTAACCTTCTGCAACAAGTGCTTCAAATCCTCCTCCCTTTTAGCAAGTAAAGTTGTGTCATCAGCATAACACAGGTTATTGATGAGTCTCCCTCTAATCCTGATGCCACATTCCTCTTCATAGAGTCCAGCTTCTCAAATAATTTGTTCAACATATAGATTGAACAGGTATGGAGATAGAACATATTCCTGACATACTCCCTTCCCCATTCCAAACAATATAGTTTTCGTCTGCTCCAGGTATACGTTCCTCATGAGCCCAATCGAGTTCTCTGGGATTCCCATTCTTCTCAATGTCATTCACAACTTGTCATAACACACACTAATGCCTTTGCATAGTAAATAAAGCACAAATAGACATTCTTCTGGTATTCCTTACTTAAAACCAGGATCCACATTATATCAACAATGATAGCCTTGGTGCCATGTCCTCTTCTAAATCCCACTTGAACTCCTAGCAATTCCATATCTATGTACTGTTCCATCTGTTTTTGAATGATCTTCAGCAGTATTTTACTAGCATGTAATATTAATGATACTGCTCAATAATTTCCACGTTCAGCTGGATCATCCTTCTTGGGGAGAGGAACAAATATAGACCTCTTCGAATTTGTTGATCAGACAGCCATCCTCCAAATCTCCTGGCATAGGCTGGTGAGAGCCTCCAATGCTGCATCTGGAAAAATCTGCTGTCAGGGATCTCTCCAGAGCACTGAAAAGCAATATTGTTGGTCTAGAGACTAAAGTGTGCCTGATCCAGGCCATGGTTTTTACAATTACTTGTTATGCATCAGAGAGCTTGACAATGACTAAGGATGATAGAAGAATTGATGCCTTTGAATTGTATTTTGAACAGATCATGGACTGCCAAGAAAACAAATAGATCTGTCTTGGAGAGGATGCAACCACGTTACTCCCTGGAGGCTAGGATTTTGAAGCTCCAGCTCACATACTTTGGACATTTGTCCAGAGGGATTAGTTCTTGGAGAAGGATATCATGCTTAGAAGAGTAGTGGCACAACACAGGAGAGGAAGACCCTGGATGAAATGGATTGACATAGGAGCTGGGGCAATGGGGCTAGATGTATCAGAGTCAGTGAAACTGGCCTTGAGAAGGGCAGGCTTCAGAGCTGTTGTACCTAGGAACACTAAGAGTCACAAGTGATCAAAGGCACAAACAACAACAACAGATATGAACAGGGCCTAGAGAAATATAGTTTAGGTGTTGTACATAGGGTCGTTATGAGTTGCAGGCTACTCGAAGGCACCTAACAAAAACATGAAGACACTGGCAGTTTCAAACACATTTATTAGAATATGTAAATTTAAAAAATAAGTATTTACAATAATATATGCTAGCAATATGGAACAAATGGAACAAATGCACATAACTGGTGGTAATGCGAAATGGTACAATGATTTTGACAATTTATAAAGAAAATGAAAACGTATGTCATACAAAGAGTTATTCACAAATAATCAACGCAGCTTTATTATACAAAAATCCAGCAGTTTGAACCTACCAGTGACAACATGGGAGAAACAATTTGGCAATCTATTTCTATAAATATTTTGTATTAGTAAATTCTGTGGTGTGATTCTCCTCCATGTTATGTGGTCAAAGCCACATGTTATGAGTCAAAACCAACTTGATACACAACAAAAACAAGAAGTTATTGATACATGCAACAACCATTGAGGGAAGGTATGATTACAGTATGAGCTTAGGGATGCATGAACTACTTGTATTTTAAATGGTGGCTATTATGCAAATCTATATACATGTTAAGATTTAGAGAACTATGCATCTAAAAAAGTATCTACTTTTAAAAACAAAATATTTGAAAATGAATCTATAATATGATTAGTTTTTTGTTTAACAATGTGACTATGTGTTTTCTCAGAATTAAGAACAAGTTTTGACAAAGTACACACCCTATCCAGGAATAATAACCTATTAAAATGACAGCAACTCATAAACTCATTGCTTTAGAGTAAAAAATAATTCTTAGTTGACCCTTAACTGCGTTGCTGGGGTTGTAAATCGTAGGGGAGAAGATTACACATTATTTTAGCAAAGAGTGGTTAGTGATTGGAACTGCCAGAGAGAAGCAACCTCAATCATACATCAATCACCTCGCATATCTTTACATACAATAAAATTCTAGGTAAGTTAATCAGTGAAAATACTGTTAGAAGAAAAGACTTTCCCATCCTAGGAAACTTGATCACTGGCTGAAACAGTTTATGTTTATATACTTGTCATTTTTAGCCCTGTTGTAGTTACGTGCATTTGAGTCAGATCCGACACAAAACTGACCCTCTAGTTGGTTTTCAGAGGTAGTAAAATACATAGGAAGAGAATGTCCATCTTTCTGCCATGGAGTAACTGATAGATTTAAACCACATGCCTTGGAGATTACAGCACAGTTTCTTACCACAAGGTCACCAGAGTTCCCTTTTACTTACATATGTGATAAATATTGAGAATGTGACAATTTTCTTCCAAAACTACATTAATTCCATGTGTGCTAACAAAAAGTAGAAATATGTGTTTTTTCTTTAAATGTTGTTTACCAAGTTTTTACTTCAAAATATACTGAGCACATTACCAAAACAGCAGCATAGACACTTGTATACAGTCTTCCTGTGGCAGAAAATGTTTTGAGCAATCTGACAAAAACACTGTTTTTCCCTGAAGTCAGTACTATAGGAAATCCTCCAAGACATTTTCAAGCTATCCTATTTGCTTTTTATTATGCTCCCTCATTGAGAAGGGCTATAATAATATTAAGTGAAACTGACTGACTCTCTAACTAAGGGTACCTTTTTTTAGAGACAATACTTTTAAATAGCTTGAGTAGAGATTGTGGAGACACCAACATATCACTTTTATGTAGATAATAACGATATAGCTTCTTGGGGGACTCTCACATCATTATTTGTTCCATGAGTTAAAGAGGTCTTTGAAGAAGTAGGACAATTATTTGTGTGATCTGAAATTGAGGAGATAGTCACAGGACCTTGAAGGCTAAAATAAGGACGGAGGTTCCCACAGAAGGTGATTCCAGTAAAAGAATAGATATGAGAATCATCAGTCATGTTGTAGAAGGACACATCCCCAGCCTCCCAATCCAGAAAAACTCCTATCTTGTCGGGGTGCTTCCTCAGTCTCAGGCTCCTTGGCGTGGAGGTGAGAGCCTTTATTTCTCCTTCAGTGAATGCCACCACCCAGAAATTCTTCTCTGGACTTTCTACAAACCATCCATGTCTTTTCACAGTGTCTGAGCAAACACCTAGACCCCATCTAGTTTCAAGCACACTTTCTGCCGCCTCCATTTTTATTTCCACCTCCCAAAAATGTCTTCCTGTGGTAAACTGATCCTGACCCAGAACACTGAAGATGGTTTCAGATTCCTGTTCTTCGTTTAGTGATGTTTCACAGAAAGAAACACATCTTCCATTCTCAGAAACTTTGAGGTTGGAATGAGCCGTGTCTGGTGCCAAAGCAGCCACCACTGCAAACACGAGGGGAGGGAGGAAGTCAGTGCAGAACAGAAACTTATTGACCATACACCAGAACATAGGAACAGAGGAAAACAAAAGAGAGAGGAATGACAGGATAGGGGTTCTAGTCTTTGTTCGTTAATAGAAGTGACTTAATGTGTGTCACACAGTTAGAACCTTGGGTGACCATCTGCCCAGACAGATGTGGCCATCCTGCCAAAAGGATTACCTCATCTGAAAACATCCCGAGTGAGGTATTCAGGTTGGGGTCTCTTCATCTTCCTCCAAATGCTTTTTAATTACAGCTTGTTTATGACATTGAAGTCTTGTTATAATTACAGTATACTGACTTTAAGCCTCTTTAGTGGTATATTTTTCTATGAATTTTATAAGGTCATAGTCATCCAACTTTCTTTTATTATTCTTATATTCAAATCTTTTATTTACAGTGATTCAGAATCTGGAGTCAGAAGGATCTAAATTTTTATAATCTCTCTATAATTAGTAGCTGTGTGACTCTGATGAAGTTACATTGCTTCTCTTATCATTAGTTACAATAACACTGGATTATTGTAGAAATAAATAATAAGTAGAGAACTAAGTAGAAATATCTTTTTAATGATAAGTAAAATAACTTGGTAAGTTTTAATTTTCATTAGATATGGCAACACTACTAATAATAATAGGAAAAAGAAATACTAATTAGTATGTTTCTTGTCAAACCACATTTTTTTCAGTAATTAAAGTTTTCTCATAAGAATTTGTTTATGGGCTATTAGAACATGCTTTAATCTTTGGAGGATTAAAAACATCAGGAAATATTTTGGAATGGGGGCTTGAATAAGAGAGAAATGACATGCACCAGGAATGGATAATCAACCTACAATTCTGAAAAGACTTCAAAATGATCATGAGACATTTTTCATTTTCATAAACTCTTTTATCTCACACAAATTTCACAATAGTCTTTATTTGACTCAACTACTCTTGTTGTTGTTTTTATACTATGGTGTTTTTATGTTTTCTTAAGTTGGAACCAACTCATAGCTGACCCCCTAGCTAGTTTTCAGAGGCTATAAATCACACAGGAGGAAATTGCGAACTTTCTTTTGCAGAGTAGCTGGCAGATTCAGACCACTTGTTTTTGGGCCCCTAGAGCACCAATATAATTCACACAGATGTATTTAATTATCATTAAAGTGTAATTGTGAATGTCTTTTTCTCAGAGAATCATTCTAACGTACTAATTTATCTCATGGTAATTTCTTCTTTTTTCATAACATTAATCAAAGTGTATATATTTCACAATGAAGTAAAAGATTAGTTCTGCTTTACTTTGCATCAAATAAATAGTTGTATAAATTAATGCTAAATGAATTAATGAATGGTATAAAAATATCAGGAAATTCATTGACATTTCAGCATGATATTGAGACTGAGAAGTTATTGCATGAATCACATAGGTATTGTTGGAAGTTTATACAAATACAAGAGATTTCATTTGTTTAGAGAACATGTATTCTAGAATAAGAATGCTACTTGCCTTCTGTGAACCTTTCCTTTCTCCAGTCTGAAAAGAAAAAAAAATACATCAGAAAATATGACAAGAACATATTTGCTAAATTGTGTTCTATCTCTGGCTAAGTATCCTCCTGGACTCTCTGCCAACAAAGTAACATTTACATTCTGGAAAGTGCCCTAAAGCTCTACACAATTGTACTCTAAAGCCCCAAAAGAATAACAGAGTTGCTTACCAGCATATATGTTTGCCTTTGTCCAGTCTGAAATAAATAGAAAAATGAGGTTTTACAATTCATAGGAAGTCCACTTCAGAAAATGTAATAATTGCTATCATATTAAACATGAAGATTCATATTATAGTAGTATATCCATATCCATCAGCAGTTTATGATAATTGTGAAGAGTTTGTCTTCTAAATCTACTATTCAGTTTCTCTCAGTTTTCATAGTGATAACATCTTTGTGCTTGGTCTTCCCAGAACAAGAAGGAGAAGATAAACTCCAATTGTGAGATCAAATAAAGTGGTTGGAACTATAATGTTATCAATATAACTTACCTTGTTCATATAGTGCCTTCCTTTTGGCTGAAAAGAAATAACAGTATGTGAGATTGAGTCTGTACAGCATAGAGCTGGGCTTTACTTCCTCTATAAGTACCAAGAAAACAAAGAACTTACCAAGCTCTATCTTGAGTGATTCTAAAACAGAAAGAAATAAATTAATAAAACAGATTTACAGTAAAGTCTAAAGATTTTTTCTTCCTAACAAAAAGATAGAATGCTTCCAGATACTAGATTAAGAAATTACTCTAATCAAGAGTTATAATTATTTCTTAATGAACTCCACTATAATATTTTTCTCTTTAGGATACTAATTCAATGTCTTGTTGGAGACCTGGAGGCTCAAAATCAATTGTTGTTCCTCTTTCCCCATACATATCACCCACGTATGTGCACAGTTATGATCATAAACCTTCAATAGGTCTAAGCCTCAGTTTTACCTTTGGCTTTCTTTTCTTTCTCTTTTTCATCCTCAGCTTTCTTCACCCTCTTCTTTTCTAGTTGTCCTCTCCAGAACAAAAACAAAATAGCACCCAGTGAAATCCAGAGTATAGGGAAAGTCGCAGCAAATGCTATCTTCCATGGAGAAGTCCTAGGGAAGAAGGGTTCTGACACAAGACCCAAGACCCAGTGAAAAGTGAACACAACACACCTTTATTCTATCCCAACTCTCAAATACCCCTTCATTCCTCCTTTCCTGACCCGAATATTTGAAAAACTGACCTGGAATAGAAATAGTTTCCACCTGCTCTTCACCAAAGAAGGGGTTCTTCATGGAGCAGGATACCTTTCTCTTGGAACTGTCTGTCACAATGAGGGATGTCTCTATCTGGAACAACCCATCATCATCTTGGGTCTCAGCCTCTGAGAGAGATGGTATTTTCTTTTCTTTTTCATCTCTCCATTGTACCTCAGGCTGGGGAAACCATCCCTTTCCTGTGCATGTTACTCTTATTCCTGCATCCTCGGGACCCACTATGAGGATATGAGGTCCAGAACCCAGGCCTGGAGATAAAAAAAAAAAACATTTGTCTGGGACTTGCACTCCTTTTGTCCAGAAGTCTCTAATGTGCTATAGGAAAACCAGTGTAAAGATTTGGAAGAAACATTACAGTTCTGAGAGTTGAGAGCTGCTGCTTCCACATGAATTAGATGGATGTGTGTCTATGATTCAAAGTCACAGGAGAGAATTGACTTGAACTGTGTCCATCTAAAATACATAAACTGATGATACAATGTAAAAGTTGTATAGTGAACCCTCATAATCTAAAATGTCAAAGAGTTGCAAGAGGATTAAGGGTGGAATATGACACATGCCTAATCCAATGTTAGGGATATCTCATAATATCACCAAACACATAATCACCAGCAGTGATGTTCATCTATTTGAACTTGTGCCCCTACACTAAGATGACCCTTGACATTGAGGAAGACCAGGATGTATGGAGATTGCCAAGAATGCACAGCTGAAAAGTGAAGTAGTCAAGGTGATATCTTAATTTTCCACTTTCTTCTCTTACTCTCCTTTTCTTCCTGCCTGCTAGCCTCCTAAATTCCAGGGTGCTGGACCAGTGAGCTTTTGTCCCTTCTTCTCTTTTTCAAATGTGCACAGCGGAATCTACTAATGGATCCATGAACCAACACACACATACAAACACAGAAAGAAAGAGAGAACGCTAGAGGATCATTGTAATGTGAAGAGTAATAATGGCAATCCTGATGTCTAAGAGAATTTATTATTTTGCCTGTTTTTGATATCACATAGTATGAGCCCTCTTTTGTATGGCTCAGTTCCTTAGATTTAGGAAATATATTAAGAATATCAGTAATAATTTTTATAATATGACTAATTATTCCAATTTAAAAATGAAACAACACTGGTGATAAAACTCATTACACTCAACTTTGTACTCTTTAAACTTTAGTTTATTCTACTCTATTGCAGTGGCTCTCCTCTTGAGGACCTTTCAATATATAACTCAGTTAATGATTTCCTTTACTCCTCCTTCAGTTAATTAGCATTGATTATTTTCACAAATCAATGTTGGGTGTTTTTTTTTTCTTTTTTCTGTAATAGCAATATTCCTTTTTGGAACCCCGGCAATTACTGTCTCCAAACAATGAATTTGCAATATGTGTAAAACCAAGAACACTTTTCTGAGTATCCTTTCATCAGTGTAGTCAACTAGATTGCTGGTCTGAGAGTCATAGCACATTTTGGAAATTATAGTGATTTCTTTCAAAATATTTATAGATAATTACAGCAGGCAAAATTTATTGTGATTTTTAGAATAAATTAGGGAGCTCTGGAGGCCTAGTGATAAGAAATTGTGCTGTAATTCCAAAGGTACATGGTTCGAATCCACCACCTGCTTCCACGAGAAGGATGGGCAATCTCCTCTTGTGTGATTTGTTGTTATTATGTGCCTTCAAGTCTCTTGTGACTCATAGCTCTGAAGCCTGCCTGTCCTGATCCAGTCTCATCAATTCTGACACACCTACCCCCATTACTGTATCAATTCATCTCATCTGGTGTCTTCCTCTCCTCTACTGTCCCTCTGTGCTTCTGAGCATGATGTCCTTCTCCAAGGATCTGTCCTTCCTGGACACAACTCAAAGTATGTGAGATAGAACTTCAAAATCCTAACTTTCAAGGAGAAACTTGGTTTCATCTTTTCTAAGACATGCCTATTTGTTTTCTTAGTAGTCCATGATATGTTCAAAACTCTTCTCGAGCACCACAACTCAAAGGTATCATTTCTTCTTCTGTCATCCTTAGTCATTGTCTGTGTCTCTAAACTAGAGCAAATGATTACAAAGACCATGGCCTGGATTAGATGCACCTTAGACTCTAGATGGACATCGATGCTTTTCAGTACTTTAAAGAGGTCCCTCACTACAGGTTTTCCCCAAAACAATACATCTTTTGATTTCCTGACTGCTTGTGCCAAGAGTATTAATTGTGGAGCCAAATAAGCTATGATTATTAACAACCTCAATCAGTTCTCTCTATCATGGCCCAGTGATGATAATCTCTGTCTTCTTGATGTTGAGCTTCAATCTATTGTGAAGCCTACAGTTCTTGACCTTCTGCAGCAAGTGTTACAGGTCCTCCTCACTTTCAGCAAGCAAGGCTGTGTTATCTGCATATCATAGGCTGTTGATGAGTCTTCCTCCAATACTGATGCCACATTCCTCTTCATAAACTCAGCTTCCCCAATGATCTGTTCTGCATATAGATTGAAAAGGTATGGAGATAGAATGCATCCCTGACACACTCCTTTCCTGATTTTGAACCATGCAGTGTTTCCTTATTCTGTTATGAGGACTGCTTCTTAAACCAAGTATAGTTTTCACATAAGCACAATCAAGTGTTCTGGAATTTCCATTTTCCTCAAGGTTAGCCACAATTTGTTGTGATCCACACAGTCAAATGCTTTTGCATAGTCAATGAAACACAGATAGACATTTCTCTGGTACTCTTTGCTTTTTGCCAAGATCAACTATAGGTTGGTTTTGACTTGATGGCACATAACAACAACAGTTTGATTACAAAGTAAAGCATAACAAAATGATAAATAAAGTGCATTTAGAGTCAAAGCCACTACCTAGGATATTGATTAGCTCCAGGCATTCTTTCTTCTGTCTCTGTCCTGTTCACTAGCATTCCTTAAAAAAAATCAAACATGTAACAGTCACATTCACTTGACAGAAACCTATATTCTCAGATTTTTACTTACCTATGACTTTTAGCTCCAAAATGGCTTCTTCAAAGTCATTTCCTTGTTTAAAGAAACACTTGTACATGCCATTGTCTGAGACCCGAAGACTGTGGATTCTCACACCTACTCTTCCCTCAGTAATATGATCCTTCACCAACTCAGTTCTTCCTTTGAAGTCTACAAGTTGCTCTTCCACCTCCTCCAGTCCATCCTGATATACATATACAGCTTCTGAGAATTGGGAGCGAAACCACCGAAGCTGCATTTTCTCCACATTCATGACTGGTGACACACGACAGGGCAGCACAGTATCTGCACCCAGCATTGCCACAATCGGCTCTGAGGGACCAATCACCACGAACGCATCTGTGAATTAGGGCCATGGTGAAAATAATATCAGAATTACTTGTTTGGGGATTTTAGAATACAACATAATAACAATTATCTGCAGCACACATTCTGGCTGAGAAAGAAGTTGAAGTGACTAAAAGAAAGGTCATTTGTAGCTTTGCAAGCTTAAATTTAACAGGGGACTCTCACAGTAAATATATATATATTTGTGTGTGTGTGTGTGTGTGTGTGTGTGTGTGAAAATGGTGAATACTATTAATGAAGTTAGGTAAGTGCTGAGAAATCTTCAAATCAGAAGTTCTATTCAGGTCTGTGGCATCAGAAAATGTATTCTTCATGAAACATAGACTAGAGTGGATTAGAAAGTGTTAGTGACCTATCTATTCTACCTTAAGAGATTTATGGAAAAATAAATAATCATATGAAAATAAATGAATCAGGAATCACTCCGATATATATGAAGAGAGATGGGATTGAGTTAATCATTGTATTTTAAGAACAAGAGAACTTGGGTTTAGAAAACATAAAAATGTTCTTACCTGCGCCCCACATGGACACCTGGAGAAGCAGGAGAGAGAGGAGGCCTTGTTGCAGAGAGAAGTCTGGAGAACCTACCATCTTGCTCTGTACAGGAAGTATTATGACACAGCAAATTGCTGGGATAAAGAAAATAATAAGATCATAAAGTGAAAAGACTATGGCTAAGGTCTTCATAGTGCTTCTAGAAGTGGTTTCCAAAGCTCTCAGACAAACAACTTCTGTGTCTATCCCAGAGTACATCAATCACACTTTTCCACACTCAAAAAGCAAAAACTAGGCAGCAGGTCTGGGGAACGGGTGGCCGGGACCCACGTCTGGCAGCAAAGGTGGTAAGAAGAAGCCCCTGAAACAGCTCAAGAAGCCAACCAAGGAGGAGGATGAGGAAGATAAGGCTTTCAAGCAGAAACAAAAAGAGGAACAGAAGAATTCGAGGAACTAAAAGCAAGGCCACCTGGCCACGGGTAGAAATAAGAAATCTGGCAAAAAACAAGACTGAGGCAATAAAGAACCTTTATTTCATTCCTTCTTTTTTTTTTTCATTTCAAACAATACCTTTTATTTTATATGTCTCTAGACTTTGCAGCAAACCTTTTTTTGCTGAATTTAATTTAATTTATAATAAACTTTTCAATTACAAAAAAAAAAGCAAAAACTTTTGCTTGCATTTCCTAAGGAAACATTTTTCATCTGAATAGTCACATTTTGCAATAAATATGCCCAAAATCTCTGTAAACCATTCCTTTATTCCTGATAATTTTGTCTGATGGCTGAGAAATGAAATGAAAACAAAGAGCAATGGCTGAGAAGGTGGCTCTAGCACGTACACCATTCTGGCCTCGGTGAATTTTCTACCCACATACTTCTTTCTGATGTAAGTAGATATAACCCAACTTTCCAAATCCCGACATCTTTATCTAAATTCTTCCACTGTGACCCTTCTTACTATTACTCAGAAGATATTAATGAAATATTCACATCTTTTCAATTCTTACAGAGTTTAATATATCTTGGAATTCTTACCTTCACAGATGTTGACATCAGGGACATGTAATTTCTGCCATTCTTTTCTTGGGTGTTTCCTATGAGACCAGCATGATAAAAAGAGAACAGATTTTATAAAATGTGAGGCACAAAAAGACGTGTTCAGTGATCTTTTCAGGGGATTCAGAAAACCATAAGCCAGAAAATCCCTCTCTTCTATCACCCTGGTATTCTGGAAATTGAAAGCAAAAGTGAAGGAGAACTTTGTTCTGATCTTGGTCATAAATCTACATAATTACATATTTATAAAATGTAGGAAGGATACAAAAAGAATATATTTCTAAAAAGTGTTATTATTCAGGTTAACAGCATGGCTATTTGAACTTGACTGCTTGAGTTAAAATCCTTTTAGGGGGACCTGAAGCACTTTGTTGAAAAAGATCAAGGATGATAATCTTCAGTATGGATTGCATGTCAACATCAAACAATGGCCCTTACCACTGGGACAATGGGCAACATCATGATAGGTGGAACAAGGATTGAAGCAGTTAATTATTTCTTCTTGCTTGGATCCACAATCAATATCCTTGGTAACAGCGGTCAGGAGATAAGGCAGTATATTACTTTGGGGAAGGTTGCTATCAGAAACTTTTCAAAAATATTGAAGAGCAATGATGTCAGTTTGAAGACTAAGGTGTGCTTGATTCAGGCCATGGTCTTTTCAGTTACTTGCTATGTATCTGAGAGCTGAATAATGAGTAAGGATGACAGAAGAATAATTAATACTTTTGAGTTGTAGTGCTAGAGAACAGTACTGACTATCCTATGGACTGGCCAAAGAATGAACAGCTATGTCTTGGAAAAGGTGCAACTAGAGTGCTACTGGAAGAGAAGGATGGAAAAGCTTTGTCTCTCATACTTTGGATATGTTGTTAGGAGAAGGTATCCCTTGGAAAAGGATAACCTGTTTGGAAGGGTCAGTGAAAGAGAAGAAGACCTCAAAGGAGAAAGATTGACATGGTGATTACAGCAGTAGGCTCATGTGTAGCAGAGATGGTGAAGATGGAACAGTATAAGACAGGATACAGATCTGTTGTCCATAGGGTCACTATGAATCATACTCAACTTGACTCAGTGACACCCAAAAACAACAAAACAACTAGACTATGAATTGGGACAAGGTACATAGCCTTTCTGTGACTCAGTTTTCTCACCTGACAATAGGTTTAATAATAGCATCTATCTCAAATTTTGTGTGTGTTTTACATGAATTAATGTATATAAAACACTTAGAAATGTACTTGTTGTTAGGTGCTGTCAAGTCAAGTATGACTTAAAGGCATCAGTTCCTCTTTTGTCATTCTTATTCATTGTCCAGCCCTCAGATGCATATAGAGTGATTGAAATTACCATGATCTGAATCAGACACACCTTGGTCTTCAAGCTGATAACATCACTCCTTAGTAATTTTGAGATAACAGACTGTAGACTTTCTCAATGCAGTACATTGCCTGCAGTGACCCTCCACTCTCAGTGACTCCCCCATCAAATATGGTATCCTTCTTCAAGGACTGGTCTCTTCTGGAAACATACCCAAAATATGTGAGATGAAATTTCAAAATCTTTGCCTTCAAGGAGCAACTTGGTTTCACCTTCTCTAAAACAGATATGTTTGTTCTTTTGGAAGTCTATGCTATGTTTACTACTCATCCACAGAGTTAAAATGCAAAGACATTGATTTTTCTTCTGTAATATTTAGTCATTGTCCAACCCTCAGATGGGTAGCAAGCAATTAAGAAAACCATAACTTGGATCAGCACACGTTAGTCTCCAGACTGACATCATTGCTTTTTAGCACTCTGAAGAGGTCCTTAATAGTAGAATTTCTTAACACAACTCATCTTTCATTCTCATGAATGCTGATACTAAGAGTGTCGATTGTGGATCTGTTGTTGTTATGTGCCATCGAGTAACCTGTGATTTATAGTGACCTATGTACAATCTGTTGTGCATAGGAGGGTTTTCAGAGACCTGCTATTTCAGAAGTGAATGGCCAATCTTTCTTCCTAGTCTGTCTTAATCTGAATGATCAGATTTAGAGAACTATCAGTTTAGAAAACTAAGCATTTTACAGAAAAAGCAGATGAAATATATTTCCCTAATTGTGGAATTAACCATTAGTTTCAGTGTTGCCCTCACCCTTGACACAAGTGTCTTGACCCACTTATTTCCCTGCTCCACCATCACCAGCATTCCCATCCACTACCACTCACTCCCTTCAACACCTATCTCCCCCTTGATCTGATAGCTTATTTCTCAAGCTTTAAGGGCTTCTGTGATTCCAAACACTTCAGCTGCTGATAATTTCTTATGCTGTGGTCAATGTCTCTTGAGTTTAGTGGTAATGTTTTCAAGCTAGGGTGATATGTCATTTAGATCTGGTATATACATTGTTTTCCTGGCCCTCGGACCCTAACAGTTCCCAGCTCCAGTTTACCTGCGGGGTGAGGGGAAGCTATGGTCCCTTTCTGTTTGCCCATTCTTCTCTGAGAAGAATGGGAATCCCAGAACACTTGATCCTGCTAATGTAAAACCTATACTTAGACCAGGAGGCAGTCATTAGAACAGAGCAAGGAAACACTGTATGGTTCAAAGCTGGGAAGGTTGTACACCAGGGATGTGTCCTATCTCCATGCTTTTCAACTTATATGCGGAACAGATTATCGGGGAGGCTGGGCTCTATGAGGAAAGTGCAGCACCAGGATTGGTGGAAGATTCATCAACAATCTGCATTATGCGGATGACACAACCCTGTTTGCTGAAACTGAAGAGTACCTGAAGTGCTTGCTGCAGAATGTCAAGGACTGTAGCCTTCAATATGGATTGAGGCTCAATGTTAGGTAGACAAAAATTATCAGTACTGGGCCAATTGGTAGCATCAGGATGGACAATGAAGTGATTGAGATTGTTAACAGCTTTAGTTTGCTTGGCTCCACAGTCAACATTTTTGGCACTAGCAGCCAAGAAATTAAAAATACGTATTGCGATGGGAAAGTTTGCTGTTAGGGACCTCTCCAGAGTTCTGAAGAGCAATGATGTCATTCCGGAGACTAAGATGTGCCTGATACAGGCCATGGTCTTTGCCATTATTTGCTATGCATCAGAGAGCTGGACAATGATTAGGGATGATAGGAGAACTGATACCTTTGAGCTGTGGTGATGGAGAAGAGTATTGAATATAGCATGGACTGCTAAGAAAACAAACAGGCTTCAGGCCTTTTGTTCATAGGATCACTATGAATTGTGCTCAACTCAACAACAATCAACTGTACACACACACACACAGAGTTGTTGTGTACCGTCGAGTTGGAGCCGACCCATAGGTGACTGGCTGACTGTCCAAGGCAGCTATTCGCATAGGAGGAGGTTGCCCATCCTTCTCCAGCGGAGCAGTTAGTGGATTCGAACTGTGTGCCTGTGCGATTGCAGAGCAGCTTTTTGCCATCTGTGCGTGCTTGCACTCTCTCTCATGCTTGGTCTCTGTCTCTGTCTCTGTTTTCTCTCTCCTTCTTCTCTCTCCCTGTTTTCCTCCCTCCCTTCCACTCCAGTCTGCTCCTCTTTCTCTCGCCACTATATATAAAAAAAAATATAATGACTTGTATAGAAGATATAAAATCCACAAACTATTCTCTGAACTTTTTCGTTTTTGTTCTGTGCTGTAAACAATGAGAAAAGCTGAGTTTGTCTTCTGCTTACATTATTAATTTTTATTTTTAAGATCCTTCAAGTTATATGAATTCTAAGATAATTGTTTAACTTACTTATAATGCCAGAAAGAATCTTGCATTGTACCTGAGAGAATAAAGAAAGCTCTAATTTACAGATTTACATTCTGAATCTACCATAACTGTTTAAAGAGGTAGAGCCAAATAAGAATAAAAATCCCCAAACCTGACATGTTGTTGTTATTATTGTTCTTATGTGATATCGAGTTGCCTGTGATTCATAGCAACCTGATATACAACAGCTCTAAACCCTGCTCTATCCTCTGTCAATCTTATTGTCTCACACATACCTATCTCCATTACCCCAGTCACTGAATCAATCCATCTCATAAAGGGTCTTTCTCTCCTGCACTGTCCCTCTAACATCCCAAACATGACGTCCCTCTCCTAGGACTGATTTCACCTTGTAACATATCCACAGTTTGTCAGACAAAGCTTCAGAATCCTTGTCTCCAATGAGAAGCCTGGCTTCACCCTCTCCAGACAGACTTGTTTGCTCTCCTAACAGTCCATGCTATATTCAATACTCTTCTCAAACACCACAGCTCAAAGGTATCACTTCTCCTTCTATCACTCCTAGTTCTTGTCCAGCTTTCTGATCCATGGCAAGTAATTGCAAAGTAATTGCAAAAACCATGGCATGTATCAGGTGCACCTTAGTCTCCAAACTGACATCATTGCTCTTCAGTACTTTGGTGAGGTCTCTGACAGCAGACTTTCCCAATGCTTTTTCCCAATTCTTTTAGTTTCCTGGCTGCTGGTACCAAGAGTGTTGATTGTAGAGCCAAGCAAACTGAAGCTATTAACAATCTCAATGTCTTTACCATCTATCATGATGCTGTCAGTTGGCCCAGTGGTAAGAATCTAATCTTTGTTTTCTTGATATTGAGCTTCAATTCATATTGAAGACTACAGTCCTTGCTTGAGCTTCTGCAACAAGTGCTTCAGGTCCTCCTCACTTTCAGCCAGCAGGGTTGTTTTATCTGCACAGCGCAGATTGTTGATGAGTCTTCCTCCAATCCTGGTGCCACATTTCTCCTCATAGAGCCCAGCT